CATCAATAAATACCTCCAAATAACAATCACAGCAACATCTTCAGCAAATAAATACAGCCATGGGTGGTAGAAACATGGTCACACAAGGGATAGCTCTGTGCTCTGCTGGCAAAGGCTGGGATGTTCACAGAGGAGGTGGGATCTCAGCCACTTCCTTCTTTCCCCCTCTGTCTACTGTGCCTTGTTCTGCTTGTGGATCTCCTACATATACTTCAAAGCCTAGCACAATATCTCTTTTTGATAACTTCCCCTGACCTCTGCCAGGCCATCATTAGCAAGCTTTCTGTGTGTGCTTGATGCTGTTTTCTTATTTGCTACATAATTAAGACAGTACAGTAATATTGTCATTGATATTTAAATAAGATGGTGATGGTGGCTTACTGTGTGCCAGATACCAAGTTAAGCACTTGTCGGAGAATCCAAGTGGACTGGGCCCAAAACTATGTCTTCAGTCACTAGGCTACCCTGTCTTCACACCTCCATCAGGCTGTGAACTTATGGGAGAGACCATGTTATATCTACTTTTATCTCCCCAATGACCAACAGTGTCTGCCTGTCATGCAAGAAATGCTTATGAAACGAACAAAACAAGTGGTACTCACAATCCTACAGATTCATGTCTCCTGATTCTTCAACAAAACACTAACCTATGCTTTGCTGTGAAGATATTTAACATATGTAATTAAAGTCCCAAGACAATTGACTTTAAAATATAGAGATTATCCAGGTGGGCCTGGCCCCATCCCATGAATCAAGCAAGGAGTTATCTCCAGCTAATGAAAAATAGAAGTTTTTAATACATCACAGCCTTTAAGATGGTAGAGGTTAGAGGATGAGGAGTACAGGTAGCCTCTGGAAGCTGAGAGCAGTTCTGTCTGACCACCAGCAAGGAAATGGTGACTATGCTCCTATAATCACAAGGAGGTGAATACTGCAAACAACCAGTGAGCCAAAGGGAACCTCCAGTCCCAGATGAAAAGCAAGGCCCCAGCCAGCACCTTGGTCTCATGAGGCCCTGAGCAGACAACCTAAGAACCCTAGTGCACTCTTCTGACCTGCAGAATGTGAGAAAGTAAATGAGCATTGGTGGCGAGTTGTTAGGTAGCGATGGAAGGCAAATGCAAGCAGGTATTTGCTGAGTCCTCAGGAAATCAGTGTTGGCTGGGATCCAGCATCATGTGGGAAGTCCATGCTCATTCACAAAAGGAATCCAGATCTGGTGAGGGAGGTTGTAGTCTGGTGGTGGCTGGAGTGCTGAACAAGGAGCAGGAAACCCTGCTTTCTGGTCACTGTAGTCACTGTGGTCACCATGTGACCCTGGCAAGCCATTTCAGGTCTCTGAACCACAGTTGTCTCATGTGTCCAATGGGGTATGCCCTCCTTTTTCATCCATTTTGAAGGGCTGGAAATGGGGTTGGAGCTAGATAATGAGTCCTATGAATGGTGTGAGTTACGGCCAACTCTGGAGGAACAAGAGGGATTCTTAATCACCGAGAGGGATTCAGGAAGAGCTATGCCAAGTTATGAGGCTAATAAAATTCAGGTGACTAAGCAGACCTCCAAGGGCTTCAGATCACAGCTGTTCCTTCCCCACTAAGAAAAGTGCTGCTTTCCCTTGTGGTTCCCAGGAAGAGTGATGATCCTCATAAAAATAATGCCTCTTATTCCAAAGTGCTTTCTCCTGTACCATTTTAAGTCCAAAAGTTTGCATTTGTTAAAAGAAAAGGATGGACTCATAGTCTGCTACTTTTGAAAGTTTTGATTTCTCAATGTGAGAAAATCCTCCCTCATTATAGGAACACTGTCCATTATTCAGAGCAGGAAGATGGAGGCCCTAGCTGGGTAGGCAATTTGCCAAGGTTATGGAGCTGGTCAGTGAAAGAACAAAGGTTCTCATTCCCAGTCCCGACCCCTGGTAACTCCATCTCTCTGCCTCTAGTAAGGTGCTGGGGAAAACAGAGGATTCTTAGATAGAGACCCAGCTTTACCTGCGCCTACAACTGAAGGTAAAGAGGACAGCCTCAAGGTCAAGTTCCCATCTTGTGGATCGGATGCAGACAAAGCATCAAACATATGTTCTATTTTCAAGAGCTTCTTCCCTCAATTCTCTAGCCATTCCACAGGTGACACTGGCTGACAAGCAGCAGAATCTTTCTTTGGGGTATGCCCTCCTTTTTCATCCATTTTGAAGGGCTGGAAATGGGCTTGGAGCTAGATAATGGTATCTTCATTAAGAAGGTAGGGATGTGGGGAATACTGTGCAGTGTACAGTCTCATGTGTCCAATGGGGTATGCTCTCCTTTTTCATCCATTTTGCTGCTCACAATACCCAGAAGATAAATATTAATTAAAACAGAACAAGGAAGAAGGAGCCTTAGGCCTGGAACGTTCTGGGGAAGCTTTTGAGCTTCACTACATGATCTGGAATGTGGGATGGCTTAGCTGGATCTCTGAACTCAATCCTGTTGCCAAAGAAGGCACCCATCCTAAACACTCAGCCTGATGTTCTGCAGCCACTCAGGGGCATGAGCAGCTTTTCATTTTCCTGACTCTGACCACTCTTCCTGGTCTCCGTATTCCTATATGAATGTAGGCACCTGGTAATGAGAGAGGCTGGGTTCATGCGTTCATGGGTTATGGAGGGTTTACTCTGCACTGGGCCCCAGATACAGCGCTGCAGGACAGAACTAAAAGGTTCCTTTGCTCTTGTAGAACTTAGGATCTAGGGGTACTCAGAGATGATAAATCAAATGAATATCAGATTTTAACTGCTACAAGAGCTACATGGGGTGAAATTTACATTTGAATGCTAAAAATGTGATTATTCATGTGGGGTCTGAAGGGTGCATTGGGGTTGTTGCAGAAATCAGGGACAAGAGCAGCATATGTTAAGGGTGGGAGCCTTTTGAATACAAGGGACTAAAAAAGACCAGAATAGCATTGTCAGCTCACCCAGGGACTTGAGGGTCCCCCAAAGAGTGTGAATTTTATTCCAAGTGTGAAGAGGGTGTTTTCATGGGTTTGAAGCAGACAGTCAATGCGATGTGATATTTTTCTTAAGATCACTCTGCTTCGATCTACCTTGCCGACCTGTTTTGTGAAAGCTGTTCATCATGGTCTACCTACTTATGATTTAAAATCGCAGAATCTCAGAGACGGGGGAAATGTGAGTGGTGGAAGCATTGACCCCTGGCCCCATATGACACCTGACCTCTCCTCTATCTTACTTAGGATCATGTCCCCAGAACTTGGTACCCCGAGGAACCAAGAGTTGCCAACAATACAACACCTCTGTAAACGGCTCACCACTTGGGCACATCCAAATAGGAAAAGTTCTCTCTCGCCCCCAGAAGAGTCATCTCAATGTCACTCCATCAAAAGCATCTTCTTTATATTTAGTTGGTGTTTGCTTTCTTGAGCATCCCCCGATGCTCCTAAATCAGGTCACATAATAACAAGCTTCACAAGGGCCCTTCAGGGAACATGTCTTCCCTGTCTTTTCTTCTGGTTACAGGTCCCCTCTTCCTGCAGACCTTCTTTCCATCACATAGCTCTGCTCCACTTTGCTGGTCTTGTTCCTTTGAACAAGCTTCCTCTCGATTTCCCTCTTCATGTGAGGCATCTAGGAGTGATCTTTTCAATGTAGCAAGCAATAACACATATTTGTTGGGTTTCTTGGAGTGGACACTGTATGCCTAGAGAGAAAATGAAACTCTAAGAAACAAAGTGAAGTGCAGACAGATGTGGAAATAACACAGAAGGGGTCAAGCAGGGTTTTGCAAGCAGTGTGGACCTAGAGAGTGAGTCAGCAGGCCTGGAGACTATTCCTGAGGCTCAGTGTGACACAAGGCTCTGGAGCTTCTTTATTTGTAAAACCCATTCGTTGGACTGGTGATCTCTCAAGTTGTTAAAAGATAGATTTTAGTTAAGCATGGTCACCAACTAAAGACTCTGAGCTTCAGGTTGTCACAGCACATGTTAGAGAGGCTTAAACATATAGAAGCCCTAAGATGAGACTTTTTTGAGCAGGACAGCAAGAGAAACGGAATGCAAATAACTGTATCATTGAATTCTGCATGGATGAATGCTGTGTCTGTTCAACACACACACACACACACACACACACACACACACACACACACACAAATCACTCATGCAACATCCAGATCATCTTGTTGTGTGTTTGGGAAGCCCTGGACTTAGAAACACCATAGCCAAATCAAAGAGATCACTGTGGACTCTTGGAAAGCTCTTATTTCTCTTCATTGTTTTCAGTGTAAGAGAGAAGAATAGTTCAAACATAAATTTTTTTCCTCATGTGTGATTGCTGTATTTGCCTTTTTAATCTTTTACCTTCTACCAAATTCTCTTTCTCTGGCAGTGTAGGGAGTAGTACAGGGGGTGGGGTAAAGGTACAGAGAATTACACCTACATCCAATGTGGCTGGAGGATGATTATTTTCATTCCATTTCCAATATAGTCTTCTTCCTTTCTTTCTAAGTCATCTTTTTGGTGACCTTTGCCAGGAAGGAATGCAATAAAGAGAAGTCTGTCTGATCTTTCTGAATCAGTCAAATGTGTCCATCACAAGTATAAATGCATTTTCATTCACGTGTGCATACACGAACATTTGGTGTATATGTAACTGCATTTGAAAGGATGTGTGTACACGTTTGTGACTTCTGTGGGCAAGTGTTGACATATCTGTGTTTTTATTGACATGTCTCTTGATGTATATGTGTGTGTAAAGTGAGTGTGAATATGCGCCTGGAGTTTTATCACTCAGGACAGGCAGCAGCCCCACAACTCCTTATCTGTGATAAGGAACGAAATGTGGAATCTGTCTGACGTTTGAATTCTCACATCTTGCTGACAGAGAAGACGGGTGCAGCAGGGTTTGATGGCTCTGCCGATGGGGCTCAGGCTGGCTCTCAGCTGCTCCAAGTTGCCTTCTGCGATTGACATTAGTGCTTCTGATGCCTCTTCCCTTTGGCCTGCAGGTCCCTGTCCGGCCGCATCGTTGGTGGTGTCTGGTGGTTCTTCACCTTGATCATCATCTCTTCGTATACAGCCAACCTGGCTGCCTTCCTGACTGTGGAGAGGATGGTGTCTCCCATTGAGAGTGCAGAGGATCTAGCAAAGCAAACAGAGATTGCTTACGGGACACTGGAAGCAGGATCAACTAAGGAATTCTTCAGGGTAAGGATGTACTGTGTCTGGAGGTGATTTCACCAAAGGGAAGCATCATTGTCATGAACATTTCCTTCTTATTAAAGAGCACAGGGTTCCAGACAGCCAGGGTAACTGCTCAGCTGAATAAGAGCCAGAGAAAACTCAGGACATTTCTCAGCTTCCTACATATAAATCTATATTTCTACCTTTAGAGATGCTTTGAAACTCCTGCATTGATTTAGGCCCTTTCCCCAATACCAGTCTGTGTTAGCTCTTTGAGTGGTGCAAGTGACTTCAAATACTGTTCCCTCCATGCTCCCCAAAGGACCTAACAGTGCAGTTAGTAATCAATTAGAGCAGTTAATGGACAAGGTTTGGAGCTGGTGCTCCTTGTGTTCCTGCCTCACAGCAGGAGCTTCATAAATGTTTGTGGACTTGATAAATAAGAAAATGCTGTATTGAAATAAAATAACTGGAATAGGTGATCCATTAACTATTGCCAGGATACAGGAAAAAGGAGAAGGGTAGAGGAGACGGTGACTTTTGGCTGAAGTAGTGAACAAGGGCAGAGGAGCCGAGAGATCAGGAGTTCAACCTTCAGGGCCAGCCAGGTGGAGGCCCAGAACTTGACTTCATCTGTGACTCATTCCACACTCTCAGCCTCTTTGACACCATTTCCATTCATCTGGAATATGAGGATAGTCATATCTACCTGAAGAGCCTTAGTGGGATTAAAAGAGATAAGGCATCAAGCCGGTTCTGTGGTGCATGCCTGGAATTCCAGCAGCTAGGGAGGATGAGGCAGGAGGATCAAGAGTTCAAAGCCAGCCTCATCAAAAGCTAGTACTGAAAAACTCTGAGACCCTGGTCTCTAAATAAAATACAAAATAGGGCTGGGGATGTGGCTCGGTGGTCAAGTGCTCGTGAGTTCAACCCCCAGTAGCCCCTCCCCCCGCAAACAAAGAGATAAAGCATCAAAACCCAAGAGAAATCAAAGAACAGTGAGTGGTGGTTCCGTTTACGATTAAAGCTTCACGGAAATGCAAACATTTGGGAGCAGGGACGAGAGTCACACAAAGTGGACCTGAAAACACTTCTAGATATCAAAAATCAAGTTGGATGTGAATGGAACAAGGACATCCCAGGCTAAGGGAACAAATTGAACAAATGCCCAGAATCAGGAAAACCTGGACTTTGGGCATGTTCATCCCAGAAGTTGTGCAAGCAGGATATAAAGCTATGATGCAATGATTGAATAAAAGTAAAAATATATGCCACATACTCAACATTTACTGTGAACCAGGTTGTGTGCTAACCACACCCCAGAAGAATTACTTCAGTTGACCTTCTCGTCAGAGATGAGTTAGGGATTGCTGTACCCATTCCGTCTGTAGCTCCAGAGAAATAAAAGTCATTTCTGGAGGTCACGCAGCTGATAAGTAGTAGCAGGAGCACAGAAAGCAAGCTCTTGTACTGCCTCAGGCAAGAAGGTAGGGATCCTGTGCAGAATTAACAGGTTCTCATCACAACTTTATGGAGCAAACCCCAGGCCCTAGCGGTCCACTGTGTGATGTCCTGCAGTGTCTGGTCATGAGCTTTGTGTTCTTTATGGCAGGCAGGAAAGGGACCAAAGTCTTAACCATCACTGAGCCTAGACCCAAGGCTAAAATCACCAATGATCAGCATACTGGAGGAAGAAGGTGTCTGAATAGTCTCATAACCAGATCTTGTCATTTTAGAGTGAAGCCAAACTTGCCCGGTTCATCCACCTGGTTAGTAGAAAAACCGCTTTGTAATCCAGTACAATTCTCTGACATTTTTACCCTGCAACAGAAGTTGTACCTTATGTTTGCCCATAAAGCCAATTCTATGGTCCAACCCGTAATGCGGTCGTGGTCCATCCAATTCACTTAATAACACTGCCGTCTCCAAATATTCATAGCACACCTCAGTTCCCAAAACACTTTTCAGGCACATGGTCTCAGTTGTTTCACCTGTGACCTAAAGAAGAACAGGGATTATGGTGCCCACTTCCAGAGAAGAAAATAAAATTCAGGAAAGTCATGATACAGGTGTTTCAGGAGTGGGTACCAAATCTGAGTTTCCCCAATCCCACCCAGGTATTCTTGCCACTGAACTACACTGTCCCAACACGATGTTGTTATTAACTAATGAATGACCTTAAAAAGATCACTCTTTTTGCCAGATGGGCTCATGGACACTTCTAGTCTAACCCTAGTATGTATTTCATAGTTAGGGAAACTGGGAACTAGAGAAAATAGTCATGCCTTAGCTAATGAAAGCCCAGCTGGGACAGAGGACTTCAAAGTTTTCTTTAATAATAATGATGCCAAATAATATATCACTACCACTTGTTCAGAGCAGAGTTAGGAATCTGAAACCAGGACAGCACCTATTCTCCAAGTTCTGTACCCTAATGACTACCCTGATAGAAATAGATTGTAACTCATGTGATAGTTTTGATAGTGGTCACCTAAGGTTCTATGTTGAGAGGGGCTCTGAGGTCGGTCACATTTGGTCTCCATGTCAAAGAATTATTTGAATCATATCCATGCCTACCATGTGTACAGGAAGGGAAGCTGGTACCATGAAAACCATGTGTTAAGCATCCCTACCCCAAAGTAATTCATGAAAAAAAACACGCATAATTGTGAGCAGAACTCATACCATTTATTGAATTCCTACCTGTGCCAGGCACTGGGTCAGCATCCTCTGTATTATTCTCTTATGATCTTCATGACAACATTGTGCAGTGGGTACTATTAGCATCATTGTCAGAAGAGGAACACTGAGGTTAGGAGAGGTTATGTGACTTGCCCAAGGTCCTGCAGCTAGGAAGATAAAAATCCTTAGATGAGGCCAGGCACCTGGCTGCACTGTAAAGATCAAGGTGTGCAATCAGTAGATTAGGATTTTCGCTCCCTGCTCTTCCGCTAACAAGCTACATGGCATCTGACAGTTCGTTATCAAATCATGAATCTCAGTTTCTTTACCTATAGGAGAAGAGCACAGCTAAGGTATGACTCAGAAACCCTTTCATCTCTGTGACTCTGATCTTTCATCCCACCAAGACTTTGGTGGGTAGGGAGACAAGATCACCTACCACCTCCACAAGGCAGAGGGAACAAACAGTGAGACAAGAATTCTGCCACCCCCGTGTCTGCAGAATCTGGCTTTTAGTACCCATGGTAGCCCAGCGCTTCTTGGCAGCCCCAACCCAGAGTCACTTAATCTTCCATCGACAGTTTAATTAAGATGTGTGAAGGGCCGTGGGAGCTGCAGATGATAGGAGAGATCCAAGAACAAATACCCCGAGTAGGCTTCCAGTCGCCCGTGCCATTCATGCTACCTTTGCATTCTTGGAGATTAGATTTCCCTGATAGTCCGCTCTGAGTGCCTGTGAGCACAGTCTTGGCGTCTGGGGCACTGGGGTGAGGCTGAGAGGACATATTAATTTTCTACATACTGTTGCCCAGAGGGTTCCTCAGCTCAGCCTGTCAGCAGCCCAGATCCCTGCTGTGTCCATCCTGTCAGGTCAAATTGCATCTTGCAATTGCCCTGCTGTGTATTTTGTTGATTTCATGCCTGGAAGATCATCTGCAAATCTGGGTCGGAATCTGTACATTTCACTATTTCTCGGGAAAGAATATTAAATACTTTGGTGATGCAGTGATTGATCTTGGGCATTTCCTCCCCTCACCTTGGAATCCTCCCTCCTAGATTCCCCTTTTTTTCTTCTTTCTCATAAGGATGTTGTGGCTGAAATGCCTTCACGTAAAGAATCAGATATTTCAAGCCAGCAAGGGACTTAAATATTACTATGCCCAAACTCCTTATGAAGTAAATGGGGAGAAAAGGTCTAAAGAGGAAGGATTTCCTGTGGAGCCAACCATGACTTAGAAGTAGAACAAAACTACAACCCAGAGCTCCTCACACCCAGGCCAGGGTTCTTTCCACTTTGTGAACCTTACTGTGAAACAAACGATCTAGCTTATCTAATGATGGATTATTAAAACTAAAACTCACCATACCAAATGCCTCACTCTAATTCTCAGTAACTATTTTCAGTTGGTTTTTTTTTTCCTCAAGACCTAGAATTTTTCTGAGCCCTCAATATCCTTATAGATCATTTGTTTCAAGTGTCAATTATGTATCCATAGCTTGCTAGCACTTGATGTTAATTGATTGCAAGGAAATAAACCTGATACTTGTGCACAGAAAAATGAGATATTGCGTGCATATTGGTAATTTTATAATAAATAAGTATGCAATCTATTTTTCACCACTTAATTTTGTAGGTTGTATGACTCTAGAAGTAATTTAAAAAAAAAATTAGTTGTCCCTTACGTGTATTTAACCCTTGTCCATTCCCAAAACATTTTCAAAAGCATCTCTAAAATGCATCTACCCCTTGGGAAAAGGACACTCTTTAGAAAGAACATATGAGATAAGAGGACTGACCTGCGGTCCTGGATCCTGATTCTGAGTAACATGCAATGTGCTCATTAGATTCTCAGAAAGACCCGTAGGTAAGAAGACTTCCTTTTTCTCAGATAGTTTCTATATGCTCGAGACCTATGCACAGGAAGACATGACTTGCAGTCTGAGCAGTCCAGCCTGGCATTCAGTGAGTGACCCATACAGTGTGTCCTATAGGAACATCAGCCCTCATAATATTGAATTTCAAAGTGACAGCCACACATAAATAGCCATACAGATCAGGACCACTGGGAAGACTTTTGCTGAGCAGCATCTCTCATTGAGGATGGGGACCTGCATTTTTGCAATCTCTGTATGTGATACTGGTACCCACCAGAGGTTAAGAGCTATTTCCCTTGGAGCCAAGGTGATCTCTAAATACATAGGATTCACTCTGGTCTATGAAATGAGAAGGAGGATGTGGCTGGACAGAATCAGTTACCAAGTGGAGTAAACATTCCAAGTAAAATCCCAAAGGAAAGAAGGCCCAAGGAGAGTTAGAGGAGATGAGGAAAACAGTTTGTCTAGATTCAAAGCCTTTTGAAAGGTAAATGGGTCCCAAACTAATCACTGTATCAGGGAACAATTTACATTCTGAGGTCAGGTCTTGCAATATAGAACGACTACAACTTTATTTCATTATTAGAAGACAGCACTTGGGGGAAAAAAAGCAGATTGCACTGATATTCCACTCTCTACTTCTTCTGGACAGTATAAATGTAGCCTTACTCAATAACAGATGGGCTCTATAGTGTCTTTAAAAGCCAGAGAGGGACCCAGGTGCTTAACTCTCCCCATATTTAAGAAAAATATAATTACTCCAAAGTAATTAAAAGATTCTGAGCTACGCTGTTCATTCTGTATTTGTAAGATATTTGTACTTTGGAACCTACTGGTACTAATTAGTACCTCTTATTTTGCAATCACTCATAATTTGTTTCTTCCAGAACTAATCTGGCTCATGAATGTGTGATCAAACCACACTCAGTTCTTCATCAATATGTGTGCCGACCCCCCTCCAAGTGCAGCTAGCACCTAATTCTGGCTTTGTTCCTGTCCCCTCTCCCCCAGAGGTCTAAAATTGCTGTGTTCGAGAAGATGTGGACATACATGAAATCAGCAGAACCATCCGTTTTTGTGCGGACCACGGAGGAAGGGATGATCCGAGTGAGGAAGTCCAAGGGCAAATACGCCTACCTCCTGGAGTCCACCATGAATGAGTACATTGAGCAGCGGAAACCCTGTGACACCATGAAAGTGGGAGGTAACTTGGATTCCAAAGGCTATGGCATTGCGACACCCAAGGGGTCCGCCCTGAGGTAAGTAGCCAAGATCTGCTTCCTTCGTACTCCCTCTCCCTCCCTATCTCAGGAATGAGGCTTCTGTGTCTGCCACATGGCTCCAATGCCCAGTGCAAGCTGTCAAGCCAGCTCTCCTTCAACACCTGTGGGCATGGAAGATTCCAGCCACCTAAGATCTTCAGCCCTGAGGTTGGAAATTGACCTGGGGGCCTCAGCTTGCTATGACTGTCACTGCCCATATGTTCTTCCCCACGCCTCACCTCACCCCTCCAAGTGTGTTGACTGCCCATGAACCCTGTGCTTTTGTCATGTGATATGTGACACTCCATCCGTGACCAGATACCCCTACATCTAACTAGGCCATGAACAGGGCTCTCCAGCAACCTGGATTCTCTGACAGGAGATGGTTTGTAATATTTGTCTGGAAAGAAACAAACACACTGTCCAAATGAAAAGTCCAGTAGTTTATGTCTTGAGATTGTGGCCATGGAAATTGAGGTCCCACCTAATGAATAGCACCAAATTAATAACAGCATGACTGCCTACCTGGACATTAGTTTCTTCAGCAAAAAGGATTTTATGTTCACATAAAGGAGCTTGATATTCATTCCAAACAGTTGAGGAAGAATCCTGTACACTTAGCGTCTGAGGAACCAGATTGAATTCTTAAATTTACTATTGATTGTCTTGCAGGAAGTAAGACATTTCATCTCTCAGCCCTGAGTTTCCTCATCTGTAAAGAGAGGATGATCTCCTTAGTCCACAATGGTTATGAGTTCAAACAGAAAAGTCTATGTAGACGGGAATTGAAAGGACAGTGTGAAGTCACCTATGAGAAATTGAGTCATCACAGAGGGATTCAGTCATTCAAGGGAAGATAGCATTCCAGAAAGAGTGGAAAAGTTTAACAAAGGATGCAAAAGGACCCAGAGGTGTTCTTTACCCACCTTGACATGACATCCAGGGCCACTCTACCTCCACTTCATTCATTTCAGTAATATGGTGCCACCACATTGTTCTAGGCAATAGGATAGTAGCTGGAGATACAGTCGTGAGCCAGACTTAGTCCCTGTCCCCATGGAATTACATATTGCAAGAGAGACAGTCATTAAACAGATGATTACTGCTTAATGTTTAATGACATCATGAGAGACACTAGGACGATCTATAAAAGTGGCCCTAAAAGAACATATATTCCCAGCAATGTGGCTTAACAAAACTCTCACTATAAAACACCTGGATAAAACACAAGTTAGTAAAACTTTAGGGCCAAAAGGAAAAGAAATCAAAACCATGAGTTATTTATTCTGCGACTACCCTAAACAGGGCAAAGTTTTACATTATGTGATAATCTACATGTGCAAGAATCAGCAGTACTACTAAAGGCATAAAAGGCATTTTTAAAGAAAAAAATGTCATTAAAGATCAGACATATATGATAAGATCTGAGTTAGAATTTACAGAATAAAATTTTTTCCTTGGAAGAAATTTCCAATGGAAGGTCTAACCCATAAATTGGACAAAACTTAAGAGAGAATTAGCCTACTAGGGGTAAAATCAGAGAAAATTCTATGGAATATCACATAGAGAGTTTTTGAAAGTAGAAATGACAGCAACAAAGTTAAGAAACATGAAAGAAAATCAATGTGCTGTGTATTCCAAATGGAAAGAGTAGAAATAAGGCAGGATTTAAAAGGAATTTTCCAGAATTTATGGAAAAAAAACCCTCAGAGTTAAAAACTGAGTATCCATCAGGTTAAGTACATGAAAATCAACAGCTGATTCATTTGAAACTGCAGAAAAATGAATACAAAGGGAAGATCTTAAAGACACCCACATATAAAAAAGCCCAATCTGGCCTACAGACTGGGTAGAGTCTGTCTGGGAAGACTTTTCAAGGATGCTTTTGTTTTTAAATTTTAATTTATGTGTTCTAATCAGTTATACATGACAGCAGAATGCTCTATGATTTAATACACACAAATGGAGCATGATTTTTTACTTCTCTGTTTGTACCAAGAATGCTTTTTTTCAAATGGCTGTCTGACATCAATAGGAGTCAACTAGGAGAAACTAGGAAGGGCTTCCTGAGAGAGAGGACAGCCAGCCTGCACGAACTCCAAGACCAGAAGTTATGGCTCAATTGCTAAACCAAGGGAAGAAGAGTGCTCCCAGAACATAGGCAAATAGGGGGAGAAAATGTTAAGCTGAGGACGGAGGATGAAGTAGGAGAGAATCTTGTAAAGGATTCTTGTAATTATTTAAAGAGCAGTGCAAATGCGTTGAAGAATTTTATGTAATTTAGTGTAGACATGCTTGAATGCGACCCAATGAAGGGAAACCAAACAGCCTGGTATTTGTCAATCAGACATTTCTTTTATTCCTGGAAGAACTTTAAGGACTCTGTATAAATTTAGGCAAAGTTTAAAGAGGATTCAAATAGCAGGGTCTTTTAAGGAAGAGAATTTTATAGAGAAAACTTAAAGGACATGGCCCTATAAAGACCCAAAGTACAGAATGAGTTCCTAAAGGCCCAAGAATAGTAATAATACTGCAGTAGTATTACTGGGAGTTTTATAAGTCAGAAACATCATTTGATATAAATACTTCATTTTAAAGTTAAGAAAACAGCCGACTACTTCTACAACTCCCTCTCACACACAGGTGACAACTCAGAAAATATTGCAAGTTTCAGCGGCATGAACCTGGAAGTTAGGTTATCTGCTCTCAAAGGACTTTCCACTATAATAAGAGCCATCACTGAGTGAGCCCCTAAGTGTCACGGGCTGTGGAGGTATTCTTCCTTCTGACTGCCCTGAAAAAGCTCCAGGTTCCAAAACAGATCACCCCATTCTGCCTCAGAAGTTCAGAAACATCTCTATGCAGTATCATTGTCCCCATTTTACCAATGAGCAAACAGAGGGACAGTTTTAAGTTACTTGACCAGATTGACACAGCTGATAATGAAGGAGCCAGATGTCAAAGTCAAGCATCTGATTCCAGAGTTCATGGCCACACCTTACTGTAAAGTTGTGCTGAGCTTTCTGACTTACAGCACCATTAAAACAGGAAACTGGACTAGGGCCAGGTTCTCTGTACCCATTCACACGGAACAAATCATAACCATCAACTCAAAAGTGCAAAGAAGTCCACTCACAGCTCTGAAAGCTCAAGATGATAGACACGCACTTTTAGACACCAAACACAGCTTTTATGGGTTTTCCATGTGCAAGAATTCTTCCTGGGGTAAACACTGTAAATAATTCAACTATAAAAGAAAACTGTAATTGTTTTTCTTACATCCCCGTAAAAGACACAGTAAGCCAGTTATTGATTATGAGACAGAACAAGAGAGAGAGAAACAGCAAGAACCATGTTCCAATTACAGATCACTGATGAACAATTGGCAAGTCAAGATATCTGACGGATGGTCACGTTTTCAGACCTCTCCCAGTGCTCCTCTTTTCTCCAGTGGCAAAACTGATGACAGCCATGGGGCCATTGTAACTCCTGACTGAAAAATAGAAGTGTAGCACCCAACCGAGGGGGCCTTAAGTTTCTGACTTGGGAAAGTCCCTCTCATCTCTATGGGATCTTATTTCTCTTATGTGCATTAAAAGGGATCATTGTTTAGCCACCAATAGAATAGAGGTTCCATGAAACATACCATCAAATAATGGTGACAATGAACACACACACACACACACACACACACACACACACAACCAGCCAGATTTCCATCATACCTTTGCCTCACCCCCAAATGGTGCCATTTCACCAAGATGTAGTAAAAAAAAAAAAATAAATAACAACAACAACAACAACAACAACAAAAAAAAACCCTAACAAACCAAATGCTATGTACACATGTGCCTACTCCAGAAATCTTACATGTACCAATTTGATCCCAGGAAAACATTTTTTTTTTTTTTGGAAAGAAAGAAGAAAGGTAAAGGAGCCACCAAAACTTACTCTAGTCCCATTGAACAGGAGGTGCATGCTTAACAATGATTTGCAGAGGAAGTTGATATTGTTTTTCAATTAATTTGAAAATGCCTTTTAAAATACTGTTCTGCCATTCACAATACTGCAAGGTATTTAGAAGTCTTTATGCTCTAGAAATGAGCCTCAGGATGCTGTAGGCACTGTGACAAACGTCTCTTCTACTCTATAATAAAGTCAGGGCTATTGCAGCCTCACGGGCAGATGTTCTCCAGGCTTACTTCCTGTGCTTGCCTCAAAAAAGGACCTTCCTGGCCCTCCTTCTCTACTGCTTGCTCTCTGAAAAGCCAGACCTCACCACACCTGGGAGGTGTTCTTCCTTCCGGCTGCCCTCAACAAGCTCCAGGTTCCAAAGCAGACCACCCCGTTCTGCCTCAGAAGATCAGAAAACTGATATCGAAGGCCCAAATGTTCCTCTAAAACTTGCCAGGTCTACTTGGCAGAACCCAGACCACAGTCCCCAGAGAGTGTTAAAAGGCTGTGTTAGTGACAGAATGATTTTTTTTTCTTTGTCTCTTCTGCTCTGGAAACAAATACTAAATGAAGTGAAGTGTTGGCTGTTGAGTTTCCATTTGGACAGGTGGTGTTTCTTGGAAGCAGATGCTGTTTGTTGGCCGTCACTGCATGTTTGGGGTTGGGCGAGGGGCTAAGTTGTGTTTCAGAAGTTATCAGGTTGTGGATAAAGACCTGAGCGGCCAATGCCAGTCACTGGGAAAAGGCTTTTGGTAAATCCACTAATGATGATCTGTTGGTCCCTTTGTTGCCAATTAAATGTATCTGCTGGTCTCAACTGAAGTCTCTTATTATGATGAATAAGTCCTTCAGTGAGAGACATGTGTTCAAATTTACTAAGTAAGGGTGCATGGCCCATGTTCTATTAACCCAAGAAGGTATCCACACCCAACTGGCCTCAGTTAAAGTCTCAGCTAATGATTCTCCATAGAACCATCCACCAGGACATCAGTGGATTTACAAAGAGTTGTACCCTAATCATGACATTGGTCAAAGTCTGGTCT